GGGGTCAACGTGGAATGTGTTAGGGTCTCCATGCCGCACCCCGGAGCTTGCTCTGGGCAGCCCCACCGCCCACCCCGACAGAGCCTTAGTCCCAGGGGCTCTCCAGCTCCTCGGCCTGTGCCCTGTGTTTTCTCACATCCAGAGTTGGTTTAACCCGGCCAGGTGCTTGGGTCTTGCTGCTCGGCTGGTGGACATTCGGCGTCACCTGCCCTGTTTCCTTTTCCGTTGCCGCCTGGCCGAGTTAGGCTGTTCTTCACAGGGGCTTCCCCATAGATGGAGCCGGGGGGCCACCCCGAGGCCCCATCCCTGGCTGGTAGCCGGTGCTGACTGGGACCCACCAAAGCACCCAACTGGCCTGGGAGGTGATTGCACAGAGCCAGAACCCCCTCCCCCCTGCCCCTACTCCAAGGCCTGGGGTGGCTCGACCTCCCCTGGATTCCAGCTTCTTCCACCCTGAGGCCGGTGGCCCCAGCCTCTACCTGATGAAGCGCTGCCCTGCAGGTGGTAATGTCCCCCATGCGGCCTCGCAGGGTGGAAGCAGAAGAGACGTAGATTTGGTTCAAGCGGTTTGCCAGCGGAGCATAGAAGGACCAGGGAGTGTGTTCAGTACAGAGAGAGCAGCGCTAAAGAAAGCCCCGGAGCGCAGTCACCAAACAGAAAGCCAGCGGCGACTCTGTTGGACCTCAGAGGTGACCGAGCACCTGCAGATAAATGTGGCCTGAGGTAGACTTTTCACGCAAAGCGAGTCAAGCTTTCTTGGTTCCAGCAGAATGTTCTGACTGTGCCCGCGATACTAGCTTGAGGAGAGTCTGATTTTTGTGTGGGGGTGACTTCACCACGTGTTTGTCGCTGTTCTGTTTTACTCTAAACTGCTCCCCAGAGGTGTTGCAGCAGCTCCACCAGCAGCTGCTCGAGGCCGAGCGGAGGTCCATGACGTACCTGAAGCGGTACAACAAGATCCAGGCCGACTACCACAACCTCATCGGCGTCACGGCGGAGCTGGTGGATTCTCTGGAGGCCACCGTCAGCGGCAAGATGGTAAG